TTGCTTGAAATACAAACCAGAAAAATGCAATCAAAAGCAGCTGCTGTTGAATATGAACATTGCGATTATTTTCTTTATTGGGTACACCAAATATTCATAACTGGATCGAAACGATTGTACGAAACCATATACAATGTTATATACCAAAAAGTTTATATCTATAGTTCCAATTACAAAGACATCTTTGAATTGCTAGATTGACAGAATTTGCGATCAGAAACATTAGTCTCCATTTCCTCATCAGCATCCATTGATGAATTTTAAAAGGAATTCTTTGGTTTCTCACTTCTCCATCAATACATTCATAAAGAGTGATTAAGGAAACATATATCAGTACAAAGATGGGTACGTATGATTCGTTTTGGAGTCAGTTGAAACACAAAGCCAAAGACACGATTTTTGTCAATGACGCAGACACACCATAATGACAATATGGAGGAGTAATAGTGTCAAAATTTTCAATAGATCTGTTGTTTCAGTACGAAATTGAAAAAAATTATCGGATGGAAATATAAATTAGCTGTCACTGCATCCCTATTCCTTTATTTTTCCAAACAATTTCTTTTGTGTGTTGACCGGAATAGAGGAAATCTTCCCCTTGGCTGACTATTAGTAATGTGTCAACCTTAAATCTACGAATTAATCACGGAAAAACATGGAAACAGTGGAAAGGCACGAATGCTAAACATATTTCACACAAACAAAAGAAATTAAACGTGACTGTCGTCTTATAATTCTTTCACAACTAATAAACTTGATGATGTTTATGGCTTTTCTTACACTTCCCGCCATTTTATGGGAAAACAGTTATTTATCGCAGCCAGATAAAGGCTTAATGTGTCAGAAAACATGAATGAGTAAGCCTATAGATTTGAATGAATAGCTGTTTCTGTTACAGCAGAAAGATACGATTCATTTTGGCAAGACTAGCCAAAAAATTAGCTCATTTCTGTGAAGTAACTTCAGTTATTCAGTTATATATGACTAGTTGTTGCCCGTGGATTTGTCCACGTAGAATTTGGTTTGTTACATTAGGTTTTGTGACAGATCATTTTAAACAAACAGTCACAATATTTGTTATCAATCGGAAACTTCAGGTTTTCAACTTCAAAACTGACGAAATTCAATACAATCTTCAAACCCCTATTTTTTTCCCCTGGGAGTGAAAATTCCAGATTTCCTTTCTTGATGCTTACTTACGCTATACAAAGAACCTACCTGCATATTTCATGATTCTAGGTTCAGTAGCTTCGGCTGTACGTTAATATAAGGGTTTAAGTCAATCAGTAGGTACCCATATTCCTGGAGTGATGAAAATATTACTTATTGAGTAAATAATACTAAATATCCATCTGAGGATATAATACAGATTAATTAGTTGGTACTTATATTAATTTTTCTCACTAATTTCAACGTAATTTCCAATTCAACTTTAGTGTTGAGCTACTAAGCTTTGATTCTACCGAATACTTTTGGAAGAGCAGCTGAATTAATTTTGGAAAATATCTACCAAAAACAGATAGCAAATCATTCAGGATGACGTGACAAAGCGTGTTTCTTACGAACGAAATTGTTTGTTGATAAAAAAAACTGAAGTCACACATGTTTAACACCTTTAATATTATAATGGAAAAAAGTTGGAATAACTGGATTTGTTCGAATTAAAGTAGATAGACGGTTAGAGAAGAAAATGGAGATATAGTATAAAACTGTCAAATAATAACTTTTGGTATTCCGGAAAAAGTTTTTTTGGGAAACTTTTGGAGATTTCCCCCAACATGTAGTCATGTCTGGATGGTAAGGTGGTCATAACTTGTATCATCTCAGTATGGTGACTCATCACTGATCTTTTTCAACCACTTGAAAAACAAACAATAATTCACTGATATCAGTTCCACACGATTTCATATCATAGTGAAACAAAATCTGTGAATCATTTCGTGTTAACACTTAAACACATTTTTCTATGAATTAGGTAAATTGGCGTCCTCCAAGATAACGCGTTTTGAAATAATGTTTTTCTTCCTCTCTATACTAAAGTTGTTTGTAAACAAGCTCAGCGTACGTGTCCCGAGTCAGGAAACTACGCCGTTGAAATGAATCAGAAATAGACTAATTGCCTCAATTGTTATTTCATTCTACCGTGTTGTCAATTACGAGTTCGTTGAAAATTACCAGTCTGTATTCTGGGATTTCTTGATCTCTACCTGACCGAATGCATATATAATGTGATTGTCAATATGTAGTCCAAGTGGTCATATTGTGGCATTTGAGATGCGTTATATTCATCATCCTTTTTTTGAATATCATTGTCAACAAATTTTTGACAGATATGTCACAGTTCACTTTCAATGACAGGAAGATCCGCCCCCTATTGAATGTTCAAATTTCGCAGACTACGTAGATTCTATTTGCGAATTTTCCTCAGCCACCGTATTCATCAGACTTTGCCCTCTGCGACGGTTTTCTCTTTGCCACATTGAAGACTCCCTTGAAATGACAGGGTTTGCAACGACTGAGGAGAAATCGAATCGCTGAGAAAGCTCGAGGGCGTATCAGAACTGCTCCGAAGGTTGGAACAAACGCTGGTACAAGTGTATTATATAACTGAGGGGGACTATTTTGAAGAAGGCAAAACAGAAATTGACGAATGAATGAAAACTCACCTCATATTCTGAACAGAGTAGAATATAGTCTATCCATTCCCAATTGGAACGGCAATAAAAATAAGAGTACAGTCATAAACATTTCTTGCTTGTGGCCCCTATTCGCCCGGATAGTTAGTAAACGTGCTATCAAATGTAGTTGAGGAATGAAGGCTCGGCTAGCTGGACTGGCTGAATACTAATTTTCAGTTCGTTTCACAATATTTCTTTATCAGTGCCGTGTGTTCGTGGGGTTAGGTGAGGTAGTGAGTGGTTTTGCAAATCGATTTTTGAAAACTTTTTCAAGAGATCAATTACCCTAACAACAAACTGATATTTTTGCACTCGACGCGCGTTTCGCTAACAAGGTTAGCATCTTCAGGAGAAGCCAATTGATACTGAATCTAAAGACAAGGGTTAGCTGTGTATATACCTGAAATTTTTTGGTCCGATGTGGACACTGTTTGTTACATGATGATTATCCTAATTGATTTTTTGGTAATTAACTAGTGGAACTACTACCTGCAAATTAATGTGTCAACAATAGATTAAAAAGCGCACAAAGCGAGAAATTGTATGGATAACGCTTTGTATCATTATCGGTTATTGACTAGAATAACAAACAATAACACAAAAAAAGCAGATATTGTTGATTTCATGCGAAATCATGACATGGAAATACCCGAAAAGATTCCAACTAAAAAGGTATTACTGGCGACCATAAAACAACGTAATTTCAAAAAAGAATATATTATTGATTCGATGTGTGAAACACGTGGTCATATTCTCTTACGTTTGCCTCCATACTATTGTGTGTTCAATCCAATTGAAATGGTTTGGGCCACAATGAAAGAAAGCTTGCGGAAATGTAATCAGTCACCGACTTTGAATGCTGTAGTGCTTGACAATATGAGGCGAGTAGTGAATGAAGTAGGTAATAGTGATGTGTGGCAGAACTGTGTGGACCACGTCATAAAAGAAGAGAACAAATATTATGTGGCAAGTTCCATAAATCCGATCTTTATTCAACCCGATGATGATTCCACCTCATCCGAATATAACGAAGAGGAATTTTGATTTTTCTAGCAATTTTGTTGGCCTCTATTATTTTGTAAATATATGTTTAACGAGAATTCGGTGTGATTATTTGTGTTCATTGTACTTTAGAGTTTTCGACTCGGATATCAACTACCTTAAATTTCGAAGTTTTTCATAATTACCCATGGTGGAAAAATTCAGTTGGTATAACTTTTTCATGGGGTGATCAATTGCTATGATCGTGAGAATAAGTAACTGAAAAACTACCACTGAAAAATAATATGCCGGCGCCTATGTCGAGGCGGTAATTCCTTCTCTGTGCTGTTCCAATTGGTAATGGAAATACTATACTCAATGTTACGATCTTCATTCGGGTTCGAAAGCCGTCGTGGTGTGGAATGGTATCCTAACGTTTCGTGGCTGGCTTCCTCAGGTGTTTATTCATGTTGATGGTTCACCGATGACTAGTAATTTCTAGTTCGTGAGTTGTATTTATGTTCACTCAGGTAGCCCGCCTTTCTTCATTGGGAAGGGTAGTCCGATACGACAATAAACGATCACTACCGATTACTGACCGACGAGTAGTCAAATCAAAAGTGTTTGTTATCAGTCCGATCTTTGATTCCGATAGAGTTGTATAATAATGAATAATGAAATTGATAAAGAGTTTTTGATAAATCTTGCGAGAGATGAGCCTTGCTTGTGAGACCAGCGAAACAAAGATTACCATAATAGTGATTCAGCCTAAACTATGGGGGGTTCTTGGAGACCAATTACTGGTAAAAGGGCTGATGCATGCTCTGAAGTTAGACTGGCCAGTTATGTCATTTTTTATGCTTTCAAGAATATAGTTGAACGTTTCCATAGTCATACGATGGTAGTTCTTAAATTTATCCGGGTAGTTTCGTATAAGTAGGGGACTTTTGAAAAGTATTGGTGATCGAAACACGTGTCGAAGTGTTGAAAATAACGATGTGTTAGGAAAAAACTCCAGTAATATTTACAACTGTAACTGTTAACCTATCGGGTCGAACCAGTGTAGGCAGTTACAACGGATTGCATCGGATCTCCGGGCGTCCGATGGTCGTGCCACATCGGGTCGGTAGAAATACGGCCTCAATATAGGTGCAACCGAACGCGTGTTCTGCTACTGCCGAGTTGGTGGGCTTTGTTATGCTTCCTGAGGATTTCTCCAATTCTGTCTGTAACCCTAGGGATGTATGGTAGAAATGCAGGTGCAACTGTTCGAGTTTCCTCCATATTTTGACTTGTAGAATTCTTCAGTTTCATGACCTCTTTGATCTCGGTTACACTGTATCAATTCGCTACTAAAGTCACTTGAAGCTGCTCCAATTCTCCTTGTAAGTGTTCCGGTTCACATCTTCTACGGGCAGGTTCTATCAGGATGTTGATAATTCCTCGCTTTTGACTCGGATGGTGGTTCAAAAGTGCATGCTGATATCTGTCCGTATATGTCAGTTTTCGGTACACTATATGTGTCAGTTTCATGCCACGCCTTTCGACTAGTACATCAAGAAAATCTATTAGTTGTTCCTGTTCAGTCGCTATGGTGAACTTGATGCTGGGGTGTTGAGCATTTATGTGGTCTAGAAATAGGTTCAGTCTGTTCCTCCAATGTCTCCAGATAACGAAGGTGTCATCCACGTATCGTAGCCAAAAGGTTGTTTTGAAATCGAAAGTGTCCATTGCTTTCTTCTCAAATTTCTCCATGAAGAGGTTGGCTATCACTGGGCTGAGTAGACTTCCCATCGTTACGCCGCGCCTTCTAGTTGCTCATATAAACCTCCTCTCCATTGGAAGTAACTTCCCGTGAGGCAGGTCTTGAAGAGTCCAACAATATCACTGGATCATCAACAGGTAATAACACATCGGCCAATAGCAACGCATCAACAAGGCCATAACTTACCGAATAAACTTGGTTTGGCAACCAAATAGAGAAAATCGTATGCTTGTCAACATTGTGAAGTTCTGTCATTTTCTAGAAATGAAAACGTTATAAAATCTGCCTGACCTCATTTGATCTCCTTGTTACCAGTACGAAAAATAATTTGATAATGTAGACCATGGTCATGGAAGAAACGCCAGACTGTAAACCTGCAGACCACGGCCAACAAACCTGGAAAATAACTTTGACAAAAACTGAGATTCTTTAAGATCTTTAATTTCCACTGCTCCACTCATTGTTACTAGTTTTTGATATCTACTAACTTCTATATTTTTTGCATGAATTCGTATTTTCAGTGCAACTTGCCAGTCTTTTTCCATGAAGTGACCTTGTATTTGTGTTTTTCAATTTTTTCTAAAGCTTTCAGTCGTCAATTTTCATTGGCACTGTTCCAAACTCACACTTTTGCTCTGCTTGTGATTTTCGTGAGTTAACATGTTCGTCATTACGTTTTTTTTTATATCATGAACATTTTCAAAAACTAAAACGGAGCTCAACTTTCAGACACATGCTCCATCAAAAACAAAGAGAACAACAAAGTTTCTGTTGAATTGATGGAGGAATTCAGCTTTTGTTTATCGAAATCAACCGTTCTACCTTCTACAAAGCTTTGTCGACCAGAATCAATTAACGTTCAACACTATAACATACGGTACCTGAATTTACAACGGAGAAACGTTTCAGTCCTTTTAGCGTCCTAACTAGATTGTCAACGTCCCGTTTAGAATCCATTAGACCGCAAGAAGGCAAATTATAAAATTAATGGAAATTAATTTGTAGTTCCAGGTATATATTGCAGCGGCGATAATAGACTGTAATTGGTTATTTATATTCATGTTTCATGGGCATGTAATAAAGTTAATATCGGCAAAGTCAACATGGGATATTTCGAGAATCAGTGTAAAGTTAATTTACAGTAGATAGACTTCAGTTGCTACAGTTTAGCAACATGATAAACATATGATACTAAATACCCCAATCGAGAACCCGTTTCTCAATCAACAATTAGTAACATTTAGAGAAGGTTTCAAAAAACGGGCCATGTTGAAGATCTCTCTGAGAGTGGAAAAAAATCAGAAGCCCAGAAACTTGACGTGGTACTTGCGTTCCAAAAAAACCCTCAAACCAGATCGAGGCAAGTCGCACTGGATAATAATTTACACTAATCGACTGTTGTTATAGTGTTGAAAATAGAAAAGTGGCAACCGTATAAAGTTCATCTGGTACAAGAACTGTTAGAAGATGACTTTGACAGAAGAGTCGTCAGACGTATCGATACTGGACAAGAAGAAATCCATATATCACAGAATGTCTCGGAACTCGAAACATAAGTAAACAGAACAGCACGCCTCTGAAATATGTCATCTTTGTTTGTCTCATACAGGTAACAGATTCATTGTCCTTCATTAACTATAACCGAGGTTGCCAAATGGTGAAATAAAAACTAATCCCTTCAAATGATGAATGCATTATTTCATTTCTCTTTTTTATGTATTTGAATAATTTTTTAAAGAAAAAGGTTGAAATGATAAGTTTAAAATGTGTTGTTTTAGAGCTCTTTCATGGAAACTACTTGATTTTCGTCATGAGGAATATTCCCCATTGAACCTGGTTACTTTCATCCCAATTTAAAATCACTTCTAGATCCTCATTGAGATATGCAACCTCCTGCTGCCGGTGAAGATGTGCCTCCGTAGCTGATGTTCTGGAATCCAAATAGCATGACGAGACAAGGGTGCTCTTGTCAGCAAAGCAATATATTGGATTCTTAGTTTTTTCTAATAAGTCGTTGGTATACAATAAAAAGAGGGTTGAAGAAAATATGGTTCCCTGGGGAACACCAGCGTTGACGGTGAAAATATCCGAGAGATATCCATCGACGGCCATTTGCAGGAAACGTTACAAGAACTGTTAGAAGATGACTTTGACAGAAGAGTCGTCAGACGTATCGATACTGGACAAGAAGAAATCCATATTGGATTGAGGAGCATATCCCCAAAAAGTGAATATTTGGGCCAGAATTTTAAACAACCATATCTTTTAGATGAAAGCCAAACTGGTACTGGGCATCTACACTGATGCCACAAGCGAATCAGCTAATTCCAAATAGGAATGATCGGTGGGTCCAGCAGAATGGGGCGCCCCCACACTACGCCGTCGAAATACGAACGAACTACCTGAATACTGTTTTTCGAGGTAGGTGGATAGAAAGGAAACGACTGATCCAATGGCCACCAAGGTGTCCAAAGTTGACACCGTTGGAATAACTATACTGTTGAATAGATGATTGGTAGACCTTTTGAATGAGATGCCACATGACCCCAGTTCACATTGAAAAAAATTTTGATTGCGTTATCACGGCAACACCGGTGACGAAACGTCTTTCATATGTATATCTTGAGATAGGCAGTCGAAAATTGAAGTTGACGTGTTTTTGGATTTCATCAAAAAAACTCCTATCGAATTCATTCCATACATCTGCATCGTACTGCATTGGTCAGCTTGAACTCCTCTTGCATTGCTGCACTTGCCGTTTCAGTCGGTGGATTTCTGAAGTCGAAACGATTGTGATTATCGTCCTCAATGTCTTGATGTGTTGCCAGATTTCTATTTTCCATGATCTTTTTGTACTCTCGTGTAAGGGCGTTTATCCGTCGCACCTTTGGGGTTTGGGTATGGCTTAGTACTGGGACACCAGCGATCATCCTCATGGTATTATTCAGTTGGACGTCCACCTTCTTTGCGTGTGGACTGCTGAGCTAGACTGGGGTACAGTATTCAGCTGTCGACAAGTCCCAGAGCGGAGCAGCGCAGTGTAGAAGCAGACGTTCTCCAAGTGATACAACATAGCTTCTGGATTATATTGTTCCTGGTTTTCAGATTCTTGGCGGTTTTAGTTCGGTGTTCTTTAAATGGTAGTGATGGAAGGATTCTCAATAGATGGCGCGATAGAAGATGATCCATCACGAGAGCCTGATTTATTGCTCCTAGATTATTTTCTATGAAAACGTTCCAAATCGAATGTCTTTGGCATACAAAGGATAGATTCAGTAGCATTGAAGATGGGAATGAATGGCCATTGTAGAGAAACATAAAATAACATTTCTTGAGAAGCTTCAGAGTTCAGACTCCATCAAACAAGAGAGAGAACTTGATACCTCCAACTCCATGTATTTTTTAATTTTATGTTGCCAGATGTGGATTCGGGATGTCAGAGTTGATCCTCGAGTGAAGGTACAGAGCAGACATCTCACCTAGGAGAAATATCCGGCGAAACTGGCTTATGGAACCCGGCTTTATATTGTTCGGTGAGGTCTGTTTACCCCAACGGAGCGGCGTGAATTGGAAAGAACTCTCACGTTACGTCAAAACAGATATATTTTCGCTTGTATCTTGTTACTTCGTAGCCCCACAAAAAGTTCGAATGGCTTGTTGCTTTCCTCACTCCGCTTTAGTTGATGGTTCGTGTTCCGTTCAGCGAAAACATTCAAAATGTTGAAAGCTGCAACGAATCGAATTCTTTGTGTAATATAATTCATCAGAAAAGGGCTCAGTCGAGGGTTTGAGATGAATGATGTGATGGATTGAAGGTAGTAGTGGAACTTCAGTCGTAGAATGAATCCAAAACAAGCACTCTTCACAAACACCAGAACTGCATCACTCTTTTCGACGCGAGTTTTACCAATCAAGTTGGCGTCTTCAAGAGATAGAGTTTGAGAAAAGTACTTGTTCTGAATTGGGGTATTGAATAATTTTGATATAACATTCTATGCATTCTCTTCTTCCAGAGGACAAGTTTGCGATTTCAATTCATTTGAAATAATTTCAATCTATTTTCAGTAAATTGAATTCATTGACTTCGAATCATTTTGAAAAATTGAATCGTGAGTGAAAGAAGGCCCATATCAGATTCACAATTCTTGTATATGTTTCGAGAGGTATATTTCCTTTCGTGTAATTCAATGTTCATGAAAAAGTAGCTGCTTCGAAAGAATTATAACAGTTAATATATGAAAGAGTTTCTCATTAGTTTCTCTAATTGTTTCTCTAGATTTTCAGGACAACTGTCTACTGATTCGTAAGGAAGAACATGTGTCACAGAATCTGGATCGGAATCGTTTCTCAAGCTGCGATCGATCCATCCGAATGATGAAGAGTTTAGTAGAGGGACCGATTCGGCTCTTGCTTCGTGAATATCTTCCACTGGAAGGTAACCAGAACCACCAGGACTGCAGCTCATATTAATAATTCGTGACAAGAAAAAAACTACGTCTAAACGTTCACTCAAACAATGAAGTTCAATGCCATCGTCGTTTTTTCCCTTCAACATCATCGTCGAGTTAAAACAATACAGACCGATCTCGATACTCATAATTGCTATTATCAACCCTATGCGCTCTATAGTCTCGCAGGTATATACACGCAAAATACCACCGTTGGAATCCCGTGATATTCAATTCTCTAATCAAAACTTCCTAATTAAACATTTTGACGGCGGAGAATTGAGTTTCCTTTTTGTTTTCGATGGCAACTTGTTTTTCGACATTATGCGAAGCATTTATATTAGTAAATGAGACGGTATTTGAAGAGAAAATCGGATATTATCTCTTGTCTAGTGAGAAACAATTCGTGATAAGGCTTTGTCTGAAATTGAGACAATGGTCTGACTAGATCAAGTCGGAAATTGTTATGAAATTTGAAAATACGAGAAGATAATTGCATTGTGTTCCAGGGGGGGAGATTGAACATGCTTTTGAACAACATTGCTGATTTCTTCAAAATTTGAATTTTCGAAAGGAATGTG